CCTTTCTTTCTTTCCATCGACCTGTGTATCTATGTATCTATCTATCTATCTATCTGTCTATCTCTCTATCTCTCTATCTCTCTATCTATCTATCTCTCTATCTGTCTATCTGTCTATCTGTCTATCTATCTATCTATCCTATCTATCCTATCTATCCTATCTATCCTATCTATCCTATCTATCCTATCTATCCTATCTGTCCTATCCCTATCTGTCCTATCTGTCCTATCTGTCCTATCTGTCCTATCTGTCCTATCTGTCCTATCTGTCCTATCTGTCCTATCTGTCCTATCTATCCTATCTATCCTATCTATCCTATCTATCCTATCTATCCTATCTATCCTATCTATCCTATCTATCCTATCTATCCTATCTATCCTATCCTATCTATCTATCCTATCTATCCTATCTATCCTATCTATCCTATCTATCCTATCTATCCTATCTATCCTATCTATCCTATCTATCCTATCTATCCTATCTATCCTATCTATCCTATCTATCCTATCTATCCTATCTATCCTATCTATCCTATCTATCCTATCTATCCTATCTATCCTATCTATCCTATCTATCCTATCTATCCTATCTATCCTATCTATCCTATCTATCCTATCCTATCCTATCTATCCTATCTATCCTATCTATCCTATCTATCCTATCTATCCTATCTATCCTATCTATCCTATCTATCCTATCTATCCTATCTATCTATCTATCCTATCTATCCTCTCTATCCTATCTATCCTATCTATCCTATCTATCCTATCTATCCTATCTATCCTATCTATCCTATCTATCCTATCTATCCTATCTATCCTATCTATCCTATCTATCCTATCTATCCTATCTATCCTATCTATCCTATCTATCCTATCTATCCTATCTATCCTATCTATCCTATCTATCCTATCCTCTCTATCCTATCTATCCTCTCTATCCTCTCTATCCTCTCTATCCTCTCTATCCTCTCTATCCTATCTATCCTATCTATCCTATCTCTCCTATCTCTCCTATCTCTCCTATCTCTCCTATCTCTCCTATCTCTCCTATCTATCCTATCTATCCTATCTATCCTATCTATCCTATGTGTCCTATCTATCTATCTATCTATCTGTCTATACTATCTATTTCGCCATATCTATCTTTGTATCTGTCTATCTATCTATCTATCTATCTCTCTCTCTCTATCTGCTGATCCTTTCTATCCTATCTATCCTATCTTTCCTTTCTATCCTATCTATCCCGTCCTATCCTATCCTATCCTATCCTATCTACCATCCTACCTATCTATCCATCTACCTATCTATCTATCTTTCTTTCTGTCTATCTATCTTTCTATCCATCTATCTCCCCTTCTATCTATTTTATCTGTCCTGTCTATCCTATCTATCCTATCTATCCTTTCTATCCTATCTATCCTTTCTATCCTATCTATCCCTTTCTATCCTAACTATCCTGTTTATCCTATCTATCCTGTCTATCCGATATATCCGATTTATCTTATATATTCGTTCGTTCCTATCTTTCGTTTTACTCCATATATCCTTACTATCCTATCTACCCCATCTATCCTGTCTTTCCTGTTGATCCTATCTATCCTGTCTGTGCTATTTATCCTTTATTTCCTATCTTTCTTTCTACCCTTTCCTAACCTATCCTGTGCTAATTATCCTTTCCCATTTTACCCTTTTCTATCCTATCTTTCCTATCTATCCTACCTATCCTATCTACCCTATATATCTTATTTATATTTATTTATATGTTCTATCCTATGTATCCTATCTACCCTATCTATCCTACCTTTGGTATCTGTCCTTTCTATTGTTTCTATCTTGTCTATACTTTCTACCCTATCTATCTTATCTTTTCAATCCTGTCTAACCTGTCATGTATATTTGTATATGTGTATTTATGTATGTAATGTCATGTCATGTAATGTAATGGAATGTAACGTATGCGTGTCTGCATGCATGCATGCAGGCATGTAATGTATGTAACGTATGTGATGTATGTAATGTATCTAATGTATGTAATGTATGTAATTATGCATGTAATGTAGTGTCATGTCATGTCATGTCATGCAATGTAATGTCATGTCATGTAATGTAATGTCATGTCATGTAATGCAATGTAATGTAATGTATGTAATGTATGTGTGTATGTATGTATGTATGTAATGCAATGCAATGCAATGCAATGCAATGCAATGTAATGTAATGTAATGTAATGTCTGTATGTATGTATGCAAATATGTATATTTTTATATTGTTTACATGTATACATGTATATTCGTATGTATTTCTATTTGCAAAGGTACCAGGTACCGAATGCCTTTTGTGGAATTAAGTAAGCAGGGTTTTGCAGAATGCGTGGTGTCAATGGTGGTGGTGCATGCCGCACACATTTAGCACCCCAGATTCTATACACTTCGTACTCTCTACAAAACACACACTACACACCTGGTGCCTGGTGCTCCCAAATACACATGCCACGCATGACACTGCAAACGCTACATTCCACAGCCTTTAGACTGCAAACTCTACACTTCACACTGCAAACTCCACACCTCACATTGGGCACGAAACGCCCAACGTTGCATTTCACATTCAGCATACTGAACACTACAAGTGAAAACCATACACTGCAAACATTACAGTCCACGCCATGCACACTCCACCCACCAGTCGCCACACTCCGCACTCCAGATGCAAACTCGACATTCCACATGCCTACCTCCGCACTCTACACACTCCAGAATCACACACACACAGAGAAAAAGTGCAAGATGGCGCAAGGTTCCAAACAAGTATGGGAAAGTAGGCCAAGGTTAAAAGGAACATGCCAAGATTAAGAAAGAGTAGGTCAAGGTCCAAAAAAAGTGATCCAAGGTCAAAAAAAAGTGATTCAAGGTCGAAAAAAAGAGGTAAGGTTAAAAAAAAGTGATCCAAGGTCAAAAAAAGGGAAAGAGAACCAAGAAGGGCTTACTGTTGCTTAATTTGCGAATGTTGCTGAATGTCGCATTGTTATCTTAATTTTTATCACTTTTTGGGTGCTGAGTCTGCATGCATGAAAAACACATGCGCTGGCATGTATCTGTACAGGATTGGTGCCTTTATGGCTCCGAAGTCAGCAAATGTGTGCCAAAATCATTGATGTCAATGAAAAACCTTTGGTTGCATGTGTTGCGCAGCATGAGCTTGAGCCAATTTGTCCACCAAATATTGTGCCTGTCACTGCCACCTACTACAACCCTGTTGGGGCCGCGCGGGAAAAAAAGGATATACATATACTATATATTTATTTATTTAAATATAATATACATATAAATTCATAAACATTGTGAATATGGAGTTTCACCAGCTGATATGTACCGCACGGTTGCAACATGATTTGCCGCCTGCACAGCCACAACCCCAAGAGCAAACATTTATTCGCTCTAATATATCTTGGTGGCGAACATACACACATCGCACCCACAGTTTTGAAATGATTAGAACCCGTACAGGGATTGGAAACTCCAGGTGCTGTGGACGTTTTTTTTTCTTTGGCGGGCAGAGCTGTCGATTTCCAGTCGCCATGCTTTCCTTGGCTCAGAGCACCAGGGATGTCTCATTTCAAGGATCAACATGCTAGGAGGGTTTCAAAACTCGCGGAATTGCACGAGGCATTGGTGGCTGAGGATGATGGGGAATACTTAGCCCGTACAGGAAGCCTTGTGAGGTCGAAAACCCTCCGTTCCAAAAAAGCGAGGGCGGCTTTTTCTGTGATTTTAACTGCTGATGAGACCAATGGTCAAGAAAACGACCAGGTGTCCACACAGAAGCGTTTCTGGACGAAGAGTTTGGTCAAACATGCTCTAGAAAACTTGTTCAAGTTTATAGGATTGAGATTCCACAGCTACCTGGTTTCACGTGGCCGGACTGGTTCAAGTCCCAGACCAAAATCGTACACAGCCTTTGTAAGACGGCATTCAGGAACCGGCTGTCGATGTCTGGGGGTTCCATGGACAACTTGGAAACACTTGACTATGATGTGAAGGACAGAGTTTCATCTTCCCACCTTCAGCGCTCTTTTCAACTCGCATCCATTTTTCAAGTGATGTCCACAAAATTATAGCACCGGATATCCCCACATGTTACCAACTTCTCTAGACTTAGACTGAGCATAGAAAAGCAAGAAGGGAAGAGGGAGTATAAGAGTGATGGAGGGGTGATGGTGGGTGAGTTGGTGTGTGTGTATGTATGTGCATGCACAGGTGAGTGAATGAGAATGTGAGTGAGTGAGTGAGTGAGTGAGTGAGCAAGGGAAGAGGAAGTATGATAGTGATGGAAGGGCGATGGTGGGTGAGTTTATGTGCATGTATGTATGCATGCATATGATGTATGTGTGTGGTGTGTGTGAGTGAGTTTATGTGTGTGTGTGCTATGTATGTGTGAATGATGTATGTGTGTGATGTGCTGTGTTCATGTTGTGCGTGCCTGTGGACATAAGGGAGTATGTGGGTGTAGGTGTTCACGCATGCGTGTACGTGAGTGCATGGTTGTCGTTCTCGAAGTGGCATAGACCAGCATCATGATCTCAGGAGACGCAGCATGCAAAAACAAGCCATGATAAACTCACAAGCAATCAATCTGAATGAGCTGAGCTGATAAATCGCCATGCCTTGCTTCTGAACAGCAATGATATGTTTTTTTCTTGTCAGCGAAGTCGACAGGTCGCGTTAAAGTTGCACAAAACGGCAGAAAAAATAGTAGCCAAACCCGAGAAATTTCTTTGTGAGCAGCCAAATTGCCCCAAGCACGCGGAGCGAGGAAAATCAGCAAGACGCTTCAAGTCCAGTTTCCGACTGACTGCTGCGGAGCAAACAAAAGCTCACATCTCTTCGTTGGATCGGGTGGCTGCGACTTGGCATGATTGCGCAAGCATGCGGAGCTAGGAAAATCAGCAAGACGCTTCAAGACCAGTCTCCGACTGACTGCTGCGGAGCAAACATAAGTTCACATCGGTTCGTCCAATTCGGTGGCTGCGACCTCGGATGATGCCGGCAAAGTGTTCATCCAAGCTGTGGAGCTACGTGCCTCTTCCGGCATGCTGTCTCTGACGACATTGAGCCTCTTGACAGGCGTCCATTTGGATTCAAAGGTAAGGGGTTCATTTACTGTCAGCTCTTCCGTGGCGAGTCGGTCAAAGTAGGTCGTGACGGTGTCCACGGGGACATGCCAGAGAACACTTCGCTCTCCGATCCACTTGATGGATTTCTCCGGTGCGGCCCTGGAGCATCCAGTTGACAACCGAAGCCGGGCCAGCCATGCGAAGTTTCACTTGGAAAGGAGATGTGTCCGTTTTCGACAAAAGGCAATCAAAGGATCGCTTCACTCGCATGGCCGAGGTGGCTGCATTGTCTTGCTGCAGTGCCTCTTCATCTGGCAACTTCACGTTGTTGAAGCACACCAAGGCACGCAAAAAGTTTGCATCCACCTTGCCCACGGAGACCAGTCCGAGATGCGCATCCACTGTTACCTTATTCAACGGCGCCACTGGGCAACCATTGTTCAAGCGGCAAAGAGGCAGATTCAACTGGCCGTCTGGTGGAGTCATCAGCGCGACAGCCGGCTGAAGCCGCAGGCAGGGACGAATGTCGCGACACTCCAATTCCAAGGATTGCTGGAAGTCGTTCTCCTTGAAGGTGAAACGGCAGATCCACTGAGCATTTCGGGACATGTCTCTGAGAGTCGTGCGCAGCTCCTTGGAATCAGCCAGCGGCTCGGGCAAAGTCACTTCCATCAGCGCTGCTGCCTTCAGCAGTAACTCGTGATACAGCATCACGGAGCACTGACTGTTGCCATCGGCCAACGTCAATCTGACGGCCAGGCGCTTTTCCGTGCTTCCGTCAGGATGTTGCGAACAAGGGCTGGTCCGCTTGCATCGCACGCAACAAGTGATAAGCCACTCATCCGTTTCGCTCTTCACTGACGAGATGCCTAAAATCTGCAAGTCGGAGACCACGAAGACTGTCTCAACCTTGCGAAGTTGCCCCGGCACCACAACGCCAATCAAGGCGCTGAGCGTCGAGGGTACTGCATCACAGTTCTCCCAGTCTCTGACAGGAATCTCGGTGAGCATGCGGCAATCTCCGGTTTCCGCAAGTTCCTTTTTCCTCAAGAAGGCGAAGAGAAAATCGACGCTATGTTCGTGGAATGGAATTTGCTACTAAACCCTGAGCATCCGCTATTGATTACAATCAATAGGGAAAAATTCATACTTTTTTTGGGATTTGAAATCAATAGAAAATATTGATTTCAGAGCTTAAAAAAATCAATAGAAAAAAGCTGGTTTTCAAATGTCAAAATCAATAGAGAATTTCTGTATTTTTCCTTTTTTTTGGCATTTTTTGGCAACTCTGCTATTGATTTTTCTATTGATTTTAACGGTGAGACTCTGGTGTGAAACATCTATGCCTAGAACCTTTTGCAAGGGTGTGTGGGCAGACCTTTTGCAAGGTCAGGCACCATCATCTTCCAAGATGTCGAATGCTGAAGGCTCTCTGGTATACAAGAGGTGTAACAAAATTTGATACTTTGCCATCAGCTTCTGGGATAATCTTGTTGTTCTGACTCCAAAGGATACTGAATGGCCCAATTTTGCCATTTGGCCAACAAAATCCTCCCCCTTCCAACAAGTATGGGCCCTGGGGTTTATGAAATAGGCTTCCCAGGACCAGTGCAAAAAGGTGTGTGATTTGTTCACTATGTGAAACAGAGGCCTTCCCTGCTCTTCAAAGCATGGAGCCATGAATATTCTTCAACGAAGCCTTTTGCAAGGCCAAAGAATGCATCAAATTCAGCATCCTTAAGAAAGAGGTCACAGCTGTCAAGGATTTCATTGAGTTGGACCATGCTTTCCAGGCAGGCCACCAGGTGTGGATGTTCTTCCTTGGAGTTGTCAAGGAGGTCTTTCAAAACTGGGAGCAGGCATGGTGCCAAATGTTTACATTCACCACCTTTGGCACCCAAATGTGCCCAGTGCACCCAAGGTGATTTTGGATTTTTGCAGAACATCTTCAAGTGCAGATTTGTCAACCTGCAAGCCACCTTTTGCAAGGTGTATTGTTTTTGAATTTCTTGAAAGATGATGCTCAACCTATCACTAGGTTGCACGGATTGTGTTTGGCCAGGCAAGTTGTAATAACAAAGATAATGCAGAATTGATCCCAGGATATGGCCATAGAGGCCCCTGGTAAACAGCACATGGAGGGAGTCATGCCTCACCATCCTGGTTGTCACACCAGGGATTTGAAAAATTGGATGGGAAGGGGCTGTCCCTTTTGCAAGGGTTGTGTCCAGAAAAGTGAAGGCATCCCAATCAAGGTTGGTATATGGCCTAGGGCCATCTGATTGGGTTGCATCACAGGCCCAGCAGCAATCCTTATGCCTCCAATGTGCTAGTTTCAATGTGTTGCTGAAAAACTCGTGGTCACCACAGATATGCCACACAATCAATCTGTAGCCCTGTGGTGACAAAGATTGGCCCCTTTTTTCCCAAAAAGGGGAACCTTTTTCCAAAGGCTTACCATCTGGGGAAGTCATTGGATGTTTCCCTTTGGCAAGGGCTTCAAATGACCACTTCAGGACCTCCCACACTGGGTCCCAGGTTTGGTCAGTGGTGCAGCTCTTGGGGAAGGCTGCACACAAGAGGTGGGACATCAAAGACCCTTGGTCATACAATGAATTTCCAAATGACCAACACATCATGGTATCTCTTGTCTGAAACCCGACACCATCTCCATGGATAAAACATGGAAATGTCTTGGACTGCCACCCTTTGACAAGGGTGCAAGGGTGCCATCTGATTCTATCATCTCCTTTCTCAAGGGTTTTGGCCCAAAAACCTTGAAGGTGCTTCACATCCCACATTTGCTCCCAAACTGCAGGGTAGCTCTGCAATGCTTCAAACATGAGGTGTGGGAGCATGACATCCATAGTTTCCCATCCTTTTTCAAGGGTCTTCAAGTCCTGCACTTGGACTTTGACAGGGTGTGGGCTGCAAACTTTGATGCCTTTGCAAAAAGTGTTCATGATAGATTTGCTAACATTTCCTGGCTGGGCTCCAAAGTTCCCCCCTTTTGCAAGGAGGTGAAGTTCTTCATGGTTTGCACCATCCCTTATTGCTAAGTCTGCAATCTCACGAATTGCAATTGCAGACAACATGCCATGAGCCCATAAAGCTAAAAGCTTTGTGGCTAGTTGGGGCTTCCCCTTTGGCAAGGGGTCATCCATGCTGTCCTTTCCCAAGGCTATCTCTTTTCTCCAGCCCCTGATCCTTTTCACTCCTCTATGGCTGCCTTCTTCTTTGCCCATAGCTGGAGACACCTTTTGCAAGGCACAGCCTGGAAGTCTAAATTGAGCCAAAAGGCTGCAGTTGCTGACCTACTTTAGGGGTAATTGGTGGTGAAAAAATGAAAAAAAACATATGAAACCCATGGGGAAAGCCCTGTGGTTATTTCTTTCTATGTGCATGTATGTATATATATGTGCCCTTACCATGCTCCCTTTTTTCCCCACATTGCCATTGTTGGGCACCATCCCCTTCAGGTGGGGGGGCATCCCTATTGCTAGGGGCATCCCTCATGTTAGGGGCATCCCTATTGCTAGGGGCATCCCTGTTGCCAGGGGTTTTCCTATTGCTAGGTTGGCCAAGATTGTGCCCTTTTGCCAAAGGGCTTGGGCAATGCCTACTTTTTGGAGCTGGTTTTGCTCATGGTTTTGTTGGACATGTGTGTCAACTCTTTGCTGTGGGCCTTCACATCCTTTATCAAGGTTGCTGCCTCAGGGAGGCACTCTTTGATGTCTTTCAATGTCTTCTGGCTGTACTCCTTCAGCAGGAACCCCTTCAATTTCTTGAGCATGTCTTCCAGCTTCTTTTGGAACTGGGAAGTGGGCTTTTTCAAGCCAGCTGACAAAAAGGATTTGGGCACTTTTGCAAGTGCCTCTTCCACTTCACACTGCTTGGTGGACACCAAATCTCTGGCCCTTCTTGCTTTTCCCAAAGCATCTTCCCATTCTTCTTCTGGGCTCTCATCTTTCTTATCTTCTAGGGCAAGCTGCTGGTGCTTCCCTTTGCCTTTCCCAAGGCCTTTCTGCCCACTTCCACTGCCTTTGGCACCCTTTCCTTTGCCTTTGTCTCCTTTTGCAAGGGATTCTGCATTCTTCAGTTGGAGGTTGGTGTCTTTTGAGAACTCTTCCAGGAAAGCGGTTTCATCATCCTCTGTGGGGTCATATTCCTGCCCAGCTGTGATGGACCTTCTTTTGCACACATTCACCTTGGCTGTGTAGTCACCTAAATCTTGGTATTCAAAGCATCCCCTTGTTAAAGGGTCATGCCTCCATATGACCCTTCCTGAGTTCAGGTGACACTCCAATTCATATTCAGTGAACCGGTCATAGATTTGTTTTTCACTCAGCCACTTCTCCTTTCTGGTGTACATGGTGCTTTGGTCCATGCTGTGGCTGACATTGTGGAAAGTCTTCCTGGATTTTTTCAAATACCAGAGTGCCACTGCCAGCCCTTTCTCCTTTTTTCCTAAGGAGTCATGCTCTCCCTTTTCCAAGGGATTCTTCTTCAGGTATGTTTGGTGTTGACCCCAAACCTGTGACCCCTCATCAGGTGTCAGGGAATCCTTGAAGAGGGTCACTGCCTCTTCTTCATCCATATTTTCTCCATTGATTGCATCCACCTTTTCTTTCAAGCTCATCTGCCCCAGCTTTGCCAAATTACCTTTTTTCAAAGGTGCACTGGCTCTTGTGGCAGGCCTCTTTTTCAAGATAGACTGCAATGCTGTGGCACCTTTTTTGCCCTGTTTCAAGGGCTTGGGGCCTTTGCCAAGGCTCTTTTTCATTGCCTTCTTCATGACCTTTTTAGGTCCCATATTGACTTTGGGGGGCCAAGCCTACCCACTCTAACTGGTTTGGGCCAGAATCCTAAACATACACACATGTCCCAGACACTGGTTCTAGAAAAAAAACATTTCATTTTTCCAAAAAATAAAAAAATATAAAAATTTATGAAATCTTATGAAATCTTATGAAATCTTATGAAAACATGGTTTTCATAAGATTTCATAAGATTTCATAAGGTTGTATTTGTTTGTTTTTTTTTTAATTCCTTAGGTTTGGCTTTCAATCCAGCTGGTTAAAAAATATTTAAACAAAATATATTTTGTATTATAGTCTAAGAAAACACATGTGTATAAACATTCAATTTTTTCCTGTATGCATGTATTACTATTTCATCCGTTTCGCTCTTCACTGACGAGATGCCTAAAATCTGCAAGTCGGAGACCACGAAGACTGTCTCAACCTTGCGAAGTTGCCCCGGCACCACAACGCCAATCAAGGCGCTGAGCGTCGAGGGTACTGCATCACAGTTCTCCCAGTCTCTGACAGGAATCTCGGTGAGCATGCGGCAATCTCCGGTGTCCGCAAGTTCCTTTTTCCTCAAGAAGGCGAAGAGAAAATCGACGCTATGTTCGTGGAATGGAATTTGCTACTAAACCCTGAGCATCCGCTATTGATTACAATCAATAGGGAAAAATTCATACTTTTTTTGGGATTTGAAATCAATAGAAAATATTGATTTCAGAGCTTAAAAAAATCAATAGAAAAAAGCTGGTTTTCAAAGGTCAAAATCAATAGAGAATTTCTGTATTTTTCCCTTTTTTTTGGCATTTTTTGGCAACTCTGCTATTGATTTTTCTATTGATTTTAAGGGTGAGACTCTGGTGTGAAACATCTATTGCCTAGAACCTTTTGCAAGGGTGTGTGGGCAGACCTTTTGCAAGGTCAGGCACCATCATCTTCCAAGATGTCGAATGCTGAAGGCTCTCTGGTATACAAGAGGTGTAACAAAATTTGATACTTTGCCATCAGCTTCTGGGATAATCTTGTTGTTCTGACTCCAAAGGATACTGAATGGCCCAATTTTGCCATTTGGCCAACAAAATCCTCCCCCTTCCAACAAGTATGGGCCCTGGGGTTTATGAAATAGGCTTCCCAGGACCAGTGCAAAAAGGTGTGTGATTTGTTCACTATGTGAAACAGAGGCCTTCCCTGCTCTTCAAAGTGGCCATGGAGCCATGAATATTCTTCAACGAAGCCTTTTGCAAGGCCAAAGAATGCATCAAATTCAGCATCCTTAAGAAAGAGGTCACAGCTGTCAAGGATTTCATTGAGTTGGACCATGCTTTCCAGGCAGGCCACCAGGTGTGGATGTTCTTCCTTGGAGTTGTCAAGGAGGTCTTTCAAAACTGGGAGCAGGCATGGTGCCAAATGTTTACATTCACCACCTTTGGCACCCAAATGTGCCCAGTGCACCCAAGGTGATTTTGGATTTTTGCAGAACATCTTCAAGTGCAGATTTGTCAACCTGCAAGCCACCTTTTGCAAGGTGTATTGTTTTTGAATTTCTTGAAAGATGATGCTCAACCTATCACTAGGTTGCACGGATTGTGTTTGGCCAGGTAAGTTGTAATAACAAAGATAATGCAGAATTGATCCCAGGATATGGCCATAGAGGCCCCTGGTAAACAGCACATGGAGGGAGTCATGCCTCACCATCCTGGTTGTCACACCAGGGATTTGAAAAATTGGATGGGAAGGGGCTGTCCCTTTTGCAAGGGTTGTGTCCAGAAAAGTGAAGGCATCCCAATCAAGGTTGGTATATGGCCTAGGGCCATCTGATTGGGTTGCATCACAGGCCCAGCAGCAATCCTTATGCCTCCAATGTGCTAGTTTCAATGTGTTGCTGAAAAACTCGTGGTCACCACAGATATGCCACACAATCAATCTGTAGCCCTGTGGTGACAAAGATTGGCCCCTTTTTTCCCAAAAAGGGGAACCTTTTTCCAAAGGCTTACCATCTGGGGAAGTCATTGGATGTTTCCCTTTGGCAAGGGCTTCAAATGACCACTTCAGGGCCTCCCACACTGGGTCCCAGGTTTGGTCAGTGGTGCAGCTCTTGGGGAAGGCTGCACACAAGAGGTGGGACATCAAAGACCCTTGGTCATACAATGAATTTCCAAATGGCCAACACATCATGGTATCTATTGTCTGGAACTCGACACCATCTCCATGGATAAAACATGGAAATGTCTTGGACTGCCACCCTTTGACAAGGGTGCAAGGGTGCCCTCTGATTCTATCATCTCCTTTCTCTCAAGGGTTTTGGCCCAAAAACCTTGAAGGTGCTTCACATCCCACATTTGCTCCCAAACTGCAGGGTAGCTCTGCAATGCTTCAAACATGAGGCGTGGGAGCATGACATCCATAGTTTCCCATCCTTTTTCAAGGGTCTTCAAGTCCTGCACTTGGACTTTGACAGGGTGTGGGCTGCAAACTTTGATGCCTTTGCAAAAAGTGTTCATGATAGATTTGCTAACATTTCCTGGCTGGGCTCCAAAGTTCCCCCCTTTTGCAAGGAGGTGAAGTTCTTCATGGTTTGCACCATCCCTTATTGCTAAGTCTGCAATCTCACGAATTGCAATTGCAGACAACATGCCATGAGCCCATAAAGCTAAAAGCTTTGTGGCTAGTTGGGGCTTCCCCTTTGGCAAGGGGTCATCCATGCTGTCCTTTCCCAAGGCTATCTCTTTTCTCCAGCCCCTGATCCTTTTCACTCCTCTATGGCTGCCTTCTTCTTTGCCCATAGCTGGAGACACCTTTTGCAAGGCACAGCCTGGAAGTCTAAATTGAGCCAAAAGGCTGCAGTTGCTGACCTACTTTAGGGGTAATTGGTGGTGAAAAAATGAAAAAAACATATGAAACCCATGGGGGAAGCCCTGTGGTTATTTCTTTCTATGTGCATGTATGTATATATATGTGCCCTTACCATGCTCCCTTTTTTCCCCACATTGCAATTGTTGGGCACCATCCCCTTCAGGTGAGGGGGCATCCCTATTGCTAGGGGCATCCCTCATGTTAGGGGCATCCCTATTGCTAGGGGCATCCCTGTTGCCAGGGGTTTTCCTATTGCTAGGTTGGCCAAGATTGTGCCCTTTTGCCAAAGGGCTTGGGCAATGCCTACTTTTTGGAGCTGGTTTTGCTCATGGTTTTGTTGGACATGTGTGTCAACTCTTTGCTGTGGGCCTTCACATCCTTTATCAAGGTTGCTGCCTCAGGGAGGCACTCTTTGATGTCTTTCAATGTCTTCTGGCTGTACTCCTTCAGCAGGAACCCCTTCAATTTCTTGAGCATGTCTTCCAGCTTCTTTTGGAACTGGGAAGTGGGCTTTTTCAAGCCAGCTGACAAAAAGGATTTGGGCACTTTTGCAAGTGCCTCTTCCACTTCACACTGCTTGGTGGACACCAAATCTCTGGCCCTTCTTGCTTTTCCCAAAGCATCTTCCCATTCTTCTTCTGGGCTCTCATCTTTCTTATCTTCTAGGGCAAGCTGCTGGTGCTTCCCTTTGCCTTTCCCAAGGCCTTTCTGCCCACTTCCACTGCCTTTGGCACCCTTTCCTTTGCCTTTGTCTCCTTTTGCAAGGGATTCTGCATTCTTCAGTTGGAGGTTGGTGTCTTTTGAGAACTCTTCCAGGAAAGCGGTTTCATCATCCTCTGTGGGGTCATATTCCTGCCCAGCTGTGATGGACCTTCTTTTGCACACATTCACCTTGGCTGTGTAGTCACCTAAATCTTGGTATTCAAAGCATCCCCTTGTTAAAGGGTCATGCCTCCATATGACCCTTCCTGAGTTCAGGTGACACTCCAATTCATATTCAGTGAGCCGGTCATAGATTTGTTTTTCACTCAGCCACTTCTCCTTTCTGGTGTACATGGTGCTTTGGTCCATGCTGTGGCTGACATTGTGGAAAGTCTTCCTGGATTTTTTCAAATACCAGAGTGCCACTGCCAGCCCTTTCTCCTTTTTTCCTAAGGAGTCATGCTCTCCCTTTTCCAAGGGATTCTTCTTCAGGTATGTTTGGTGTTGACCCCAAACCTGTGACCCCTCATCAGGTGTCAGGGAATCCTTGAAGAGGGTCACTGCCTCTTCTTCATCCATATTTTCTCCATTGATTGCATCCACCTTTTCTTTCAAGCTCATCTGCCCCAGCTTTGCCAGATTACCTTTTTTCAAAGGTGCACTGGCTCTTGTGGCAGGCCTCTTTTTCAAGATAGACTGCAATGCTGTGGCACCTTTTTTGCCCTGTTTCAAGGGCTTGGGGCCTTTGCCAAGGCTCTTTTTCATTGCCTTCTTCATGACCTTTTTAGGTCCCATATTGACTTTGGGGGGCCAAGCCTACCCACTCTAACTGGTTTGGGCCAGAATCCTAAACATACACACATGTCCCAGACACTGGTTCTAGAAAAAAAACATTTCATTTTTCCAAAAAATAAAAAAATATAAAAATTTATGAAATCTTATGAAATCTTATGAAATCTTATGAAAACATGGTTTTCATAAGATTTCATAAGATTTCATAAGATTTCATAAGATTTCATAAGGTTGTATTTGTTTGTTTTTTTTTTAATTCCTTAGGTTTGGCTTTCAATCCAGCTGGTTAAAAAATATTTAAACAAAATATATTTTGTATTAAAGTCTAAGAAAACACATGTGTATAAACATACATATTTTCCTGTATGCATGTATTACTTTTCAAATATTGTCTTCTAGTTTAACTAAATACTTTTTTTTTAATTCTTAATATTTTATTTATTTACTTTTTCTGCTTGGCTTGAAATTGTCTTCCATCTCCCACAGATGGGGAGGCATCCCTATTGCTAGGGGCATCCCTATCACTAGGGGCTTTCAAAAAAGGCGCAAGGCACCCTGTTTCTAGGGGCCTTTGTGCAGTTCATCCCTGTTTCCATGGGTCTGTGCCATCCATGCTGTGCTAAACTTTTTCAAGTTCTTTTGAGGATGAAATCCACTGCACCCTTGCAGCTGTTGAATTTGGGGCCATCATACCAGCCATGTTGTTCAAAGGTGGTCTTGATGGGCATGACCTCAAGTCCTTTTGCAAGGCATTCCTTCAGGATCTGGGCATTGTCATCAATGATGATCTTGATGCCTTTGTCAAGGCAAAGCTGGGCCTTCCCATTGGGGCCACATCTCTCTGAGGTGATGTGCCTGCCCCAATTCTTTGACACAGGGCCCAGCCTGGAAATCTTTGTCAAGACTTCCCTGCCCCTTTTTGGGCCTGCATAGCTAATGATGCAGACATCATAACCCCCTTTTTCAAGAGAAGTCATGGATCCACAGCTGGCCAGGAAATCTGGTCCCTGATCTCCAGCACATTGTGCCAGTCCACTGCAATGGTCTCTGGCTCAGTGCTGCTGCTGCTGTAGTAGGAGTCCTCTGTCTCCTCCTTCACCTCTTTCTTGGCCCCCTCTTCTTCTTTGTCAGCCTTGGGCTCTTTTTCTTAACATTTTTCAAGGCTAGAAGTGCAGAGGTCATGGCTGGAGGCAGCAGGGCCTTCTTGCAGCTTGGCCCTCTGCTTCCTCTCCTCCTTCTCCTCCTCAGAGGTGGTGTCCCCTCTGCCCCTGTCCTCCCAGCTCTTCTTGTTTCTTCTCCTGCTGGGGCTGGAGGACCTGGAGGAGCTGGGCTCCTTCTTCCTCCTCCCCAACCTGTTTCTAGGTGACCTGGATGACCTCCTCCTCCTGCTCCATGGCTGGTTGTAGTAGTCATCCCAGAAGTCCAAGGACTTCCTCCAGGCAGCATCTCTTTCCCAAGAGCTCCACCCCCAAGAGTTGTTCCACCAGCCATCATCCCTTTGCCAAGGGGTGTCATCCCACCAGCCCCCCCATGAGTAGGAGGCATCATCCCTATTGCTAGGGGCATCTGCAGAGCCCCTATTGCTAGGGGCATCTGCAGGAGGATCTGCAGCTGCTTCCCTATTGCTAGGGGCATCCCTATGGCTAGGGGCATCCCTATTGCTAGGAGCAGATGCAGCTTCCCTGTTGCTAGGGGCTGCATCAGGTGCAGGTGCCCTATTGCTAGGGTCTTGGGGCTGAAGGTGAGCTCTCCTCTCCTTCCTGGCATTGCTTGTGGTGCCAGTGCCCCATGGTTTGTTTTGCCTGTTTCTCATTGCCCTTTTGCAAGGGCAATGCCACAAAAACAACTACAAAAATCTTGAGAAAAAATGGCTGAGGCAGGTGAAAGTGCAGCACAAACCCACTGGTGTATTTTGTTGTTGTTATTGATGGTGGTGGTGGTGGTGGTGTGTTTTAAAGATTATATAAATAAATATATATATATACATATATGTTTTATTTTTTATTTATATGATATTTATGGTCTTTATTTGCACAAATACCCATAAACATACATACCTTTACATTTGTATATGTGTGCACATATTGTATTATATCTACAAATTAGGTGCCATGTTCCTTCTTTTGTGATTATATTCTGAAAAGATTTGAGTACATAAATGCAAATATATATATATATGTGTGTGTTTTCCAAGAAACCATATATTAAAGAATTAAAAAACAAAAGAACACTTTACTATTATAATACAATAAATACATATAAAATTAAACTTTATAGTATTTTTGGAAGTGTAATTGTAAAAAAAATCAGCAAGGTTGTAAGAAAAAATGCAGTTTAGAACTAGACTAATTAAGGTTTCTCACTTGGTGGTGTTGTTAAATGGTCTTGTTTGTATTTTCTTTGTGTTCTTTGGTTTAACTTCTTACAACCCCTTCCTCCCACACACACACACATTTTTCCATGTTCTTCACAGCTGTGAACTCTGCACACCTATTTCTAGGCTGCTTGCATTAAAACAAAGCCCCTATCACTAGGGGCAGAAGCTTCACATCCCTATCCCTAGGGGCAAGAGCTTTCAGTTCCAGCCCAGCAAAGCAGCCCTCATGTCCCTAGCCTCCTGTTTGGTCAGGTTGTCATTTTTCAAGGCTAGGTAGATTCTATCTATGGTATTTTCAAAATTGGGTGTCATTTTTTCTGAAACCTCAATAACCAGATGGACTTTATTCTTTGGGTCATGGGCACCACAAATGTATGCCCTGGCTGGCTTTCTTGCCACTGTCTTTCTAAGCTTTACCCAAGGAATCCTCTTGTTTCCTGTGTCTTTTTTCAAAGGTGGCTGCTTGCTGACTTCCTTTTCCAAGGTGCCTTTCTTGATGGTGCCCTTTTTCGCATTCTTTGCCTTTGCTGCTGCTGGCTTTTTCAAGGCCTTTTCCTTTTTCAAGGATTTGCTGCTTCCACTGTACCCCAAAGATTTTTGCAAATCTTTCTTGTCTGCCTGGCAGCTGGTGTCTGCTGCTTGGCTCCCCAGCCTTCTTCTCAGAAAGCTAGGGGCTGCAGAATTCCCTTTGCCCCTGCTGGCTTTGTCAGGGGTGCCAAACATGGTGGGGAACCCTGAGGAATCAAGTGACACCTCCTCTGCCTTTTTCAAGGGGGTGTCCTCTTCCAAGGCCTCTTCTTCTGAATCTGGCTTCTTATCTTCCAGGGCCAGCAGTTGCTTCTCCTTTTTCAAGGGTGGCTCAGGGTCTTTGAGTTCAACCATATTCAAAACTTCTTTGAGCTGGCTGAACTCTGAGGAAGTCAGCTTTGCAGCTGCCATTGACCAATCACTTTCCCTGGCCACTCTCCTGATGTGGGTCATCAAGGTGGTCAACCTCTCCTGCTTCAAATTGCAAAAAATTGCACCATTTTGCTTGGATAGATTGATGGCTGGATCTTGCTGAAGGAGCTGGAGAAGGGCTCTTTTCAGAGCCTGGGGGTGGATTTCCCCAGAAGGGGCAACCTTCAGCAAACCTTTCACAAGGTCCCTATTCTGATGCAAGGATTTGTAATCCACTGCCTGGGAAGAGCTGATCAGCTCATACTGCCCCAGGTCAGTGACCTGCTCTTTGTTGGCAGAGAGGGCAACAAAAATCAATCCTTGGTCAATGAAGGGCTTTGAAAAATGCCGATGGCTTCCTTTGCCAAGGGACATTGCCAAAACCCTTTTTGCAAAGGGTGTTGAAAGCTGTGAGAAGGAGCTTTTTGCAAAGCCTCAATTTATAGCTAGAACTTGAGCCTAAAAACAGGGGTTTCAAGGCTTGGAAAATGCACTTTTCCTATTGATTTTGATGAGGCAAAAATGCACCTGCAAAATCAATAGAAAATTCGCACTTTTTTCCATTTTTTGAGAAACAAAATCAATAGGAAATCCAAAGGCAAAATCAATATTTTCTATTGACTTTAAAAATCAATAGTGAAAAGGATGCTCCTATTGATTGTAATCAATAGAGGATGCTCAGGGAATTGGTATCTCCGAATAGCTGGGGAACAGCATGTGCGCAAAAAACACCAAAACATCTGCAAAACATATCTATCTTACTGTCTTCTATTTGGACAACTTCAACCATCGCCGTGTCAAATTTGCAAGACGCATCAATGACATCGGCAAGACAACCGACATTCAGGCGGATTCAGAACAGTTGCACTTCCAACACATCATGCGTGACAAGGAAAGAACAGCAAAAGTCCGAACGAGCATCACAACAACTCTGCCATGGCTGCCGGACACTTTTGGATGCTGGTTCCCCTCCAACTGCTCAACTCCCACAAATCTTCGGACTTCCGCTTCGTGACGAGGACCTGGTACAAGAGCACTGCCTCATTCACTGCCTGGGCGGCAAGTTCCTCCGAATGCTCATGCCAGAAAGCGCATCGAACCTTCGTATTGCCTTGTTGAATGATGGCGTTGCAAACCATGGCCATCTTCTGTTTGGTTTGATGTTCAATGGCCCCTGGGTTGTCGATGACGACCGCAGCCACACAAATCTACTGTCGATCTTTGACTCTGCTCAGTGCTCGGAGAGGAACTAGCGGATGGAGGTCCGGGACATCAGCCCACGGATTCTCTGTCAACTTGGTGGCCAGCACATGGGGGGTACCTTGTGTAAATTAATCCATGGGTACCCTGGGTTGGTGGGTCAATTTTTTTGGATTAATTAGTGTGGATTATTTTTTTTGGGGGGGGTCTAGAACATAGAACTAGGGTCTAGACCAGGATTATTTTTATAAAAGAGCTGTTAAGTAAAGGAAAACCCATCAACAACCACCTATAACCACCCACTACCAGAAAA